AGGAAATTCATTCCTGGAGAGTTGAGTTTGTCTGCACCACACAGCAGTGCTGGTAGTGCTTGCAGTCTGAATTAACCCCGCATGGCACTATCTCCACAGGAGACACTTAAAAAAATTGTCCATTTACCTCAAGCCTCTCATGGAGGAATATGCCACAACACCTGACAAGCCGATCTGCTTCTTGCACGTAAGGCTCACTTTCCCCACCGTGAAAGAGCTTCCTTTTCCTCCCCCAGCCAACGGGTGTTTGAACTCACAAACCCCTGTGAGAGGCACACAGGACAACCCCACAGACTCAAAACACACACCGGAAGAGAGAACCTGCAGGACTCCCACGCAGACTTAGGAGGCACAATGCTTATGTGGGTTGGACCTCCCTGGTCCGGCACCCTCGGGACCTGACTGGTCCTGGATGTGGGATTTTTCCAGAACAGAGGAGGTCATTTCAGGCCTCCCCCCGTCTACCCCTCTCTTTGGCTCCCCCCTTGCGTGGTCATGCCGGACCACGGAGGTTGCCGGACCATGGAGGTTGCTGGATCTTAGAGGTGCAACCTGTATATGTATCATCAGGCCTTACAAAGCATCTGCCACTCAACCCAAGTGTGAGAGTCACCGGGAAGCTCCCAAGTATGGTTCCTGCAGTACAATACTAGTACAAACACAATGTAGGAGACATGTGAAGGGAGAAACAAAGAGATGGAAACTTGGCTGCTCATTGACTTGGGAGTTGAGCCCCGAATCAGGTCCCTATCCGCATTCCCCAGCGTGCTGGTGACAGAGATAATGATGGGCAGGATCCAAGCCACCCTGGGTTCAATTTCACAAAACCAAAAGCTTCTCACCAATGTTTCCCATAAACCAAAACTAATCACAGCTCCCACCCTGTGCTCTCATTTCTCTGTCACTCCAAGTAGAGATCACAACCACAACGGGCACCCGGACTCAGCCACACGTGTAACAACCTCACACTAGTGCCACCACACAACAATTAGAGGCAGACACACATTCCCAACCACTGCAACGGCAGAGGGACTCTGACCCACAACCACATCCATCGCCGCCTCTGACTTGGCATCACAGCAGCACACAAATCGGATGCTGCAGACGCTGCACATGGCGGATAATGTAATTAGCTAGACAGAAAGGTACTTGTCAAGCTAAAGAGGACCTTTAGCATGCCGGGCATCATGATGTGAAACTGCCACAATCCTTTGTTGTGATCCTGGCACCTCCCTCATTCTGCCTTCACTGATCTTATTGAATCGATAATTAGGGGCTTATTCTTTACCCAAAAAGCTCTGGTTTTTTTGGAAAAAATGCTAACTGTCCACAGTACCAAACAGATGAATACAAGTATCTGTATGATAGCAACACAGTGTCATGCACACACAGACTGTCTGTGAGTGCATTTAAAGTACACAGACATGCCAGCCACGGCTGCAGGTCTATGGAGATACTATATGCATGTACACTGAATACGGTACATCCGGAATGTCCGTAGGTGCAAAATGAACATACGTTTAGCTCGGAGTCATGGGAGCAAGAGAAAGTGATAGGTGGAGTAGGGACTGGAAGAGCATGTGAAAGACAAGATTATTTACTATGCTATCTGTCTGGGTGTATAATTATGCCAGGTTTCGGTCTGTACATTGTGCTACTTGTTGTAAACATTTGGCAGGAAGACACCCACAGAGAAGGGGCTGGCTTTTTTCTCTAGAGTTAGCTGAAGCAAAACTGAGAAGGAGGATGACTTGAAGGGAGAGAGAGAGAGGAAATGAGAGACTACTGAAGTAGGAAGCGAGGAAAGGAAAGAGGGGATGCGGAGAAGGAGAAAGGAAGTTTACAAAATGGAGAAGGACCAGGAAAGAAGGAGGGAGTAAAAGGAAGAATTAAGGCGGGAGGGAGGGAAGTTTCCTGACGTGTGTGTCTGAAAAGAGAACTAAGGAAAAGCCGAGCTCCCTGAATGCTGATCTGCCCACAGGATGGGGCACAGGATGTACCTGTGCGTGCACACACACTGAGCTTCTCACGGTTCAGGAAAACCCACGGGGAAAGTCCAGGAGAGGGGATGGAAGCTGAAGTCAGGCCTACGTTCCAGGGCACCAACAGCTGCTCCGATCTCCATTTGTTAAGGGAATCGGACACCAGTGTCACCAGTGTGCTCACTTGCCTCCCCTGGCTCGGTGGCCTATGGGTGTGTGGTGGGGCCCATGGGCATTGGGTACAGTCTGGACAGGCAGTTGGGCCCTGGGGATGCTCGGAAGAACAGGCAGGTTGGAAGCCTGCAGGCAGAGCTGCAGCGTTTTCAACCCCAGTTGAGATCCTTTAGGAGGAAGGCTCCTCCGCTGGGGCAACGAAGAGGTTAAAAAATGGCATTGAAAGGAATCTTCATCCATCCCGAGAGCCACCTCCCCCAGCCAGACTAATCCCATTGTTGGGAGCGGGCACCTGCTGCTCTGCTGCCTAGCTTCTCTCCGCAAGCCCAGGGCCCTGCGAGTGCCATCTCTCTTGCTCACGCTTCCTCGAGGAGGCACTCTGGCTGGGCAATGGGTTCAAACAATTGTCCTCTACGTCGCCGGATCACGACCGGCCTCCAGGAATAGTGCCCAGAAGTCATGACTCTCTTCCGGGTCTCAGCCCATGTTCTCTGTCCAGATGCCACCGTCAACAGGGAGGCGAAGGCTCTATCTGGGCATGGGAATAACTATTCATTCATCCTTAGGAGCAAAGCCAACCCCCCAAGTTCAGAATCCATCCGGCCTGGCTCCAGACCCACTGGTTCTAGCACATGTTGATCAGCGTTGCTTCCATGCTCTCCTTTCCTTCCTGCACCATCTCACTCTAGAAATCTGCCTTCCAGAGGATCCTTGTCCCAAAAGTTTCTCCCTCCCATTCCTGACCTTACATTCTACCAAGGGCTGCACTATCCCAAGCCCCGAGGACCCTTCTGTTTGCTCTGCCAAGCATGGGGTGATGTATACAGTAGAGCCCTGCAGTGGGTCTAGGATCCCACAGCTCCTGCAGGACCTGCTGCCATAACAGCACTCGCATGCGCTTTGTTGCGGGAGGGCCGGGTGGGCAAAAAGCAGAGCGTGGTAATTTGCCGGAAAACACCATCTCTCCTTTGCCACGTAACAACGGTGTCTCATTCTGGTTTGATGTGCACTCTCTTTGCTGTTTATTTCTGCTTTGATTTGTAGTAGTGGGGGTGGGGGGAACGCGCTTTTGGGATCTGCAGGATGCGAAAGGTTTTTGCAGCTGGGAAAAGGATACAAATGAAAGAAACCATGTGGGAGTCAGTATTCCTGGGCGGGGAGTGGGATTAAAAAAAATAATCCCATGCAGGACTCTAGTCTATAGGGCTCCCTAGTGGTTAACTCCCAGGAACTCAATGTATTTTATGTGTATCACACCAAGAATGAGTGCCCCAGAATGTCCTGCATCCGCTCTAGCAAGCCAGATTAGCCAGGAGCACTATAATGTAGCTGCTTCGGCTTTCAAGGGTTAACCGTCTTTGCGACAGTGCTTGCAATAGCTAGGAAACACAGAGCCCTCGCTACTCTGCGCTGTGTTTTGTTCTCTCCGTGGTCCCTTTGCTCGGGCACCTGCACAGATGATGCGTCTCTACCACCTGACCATACACCCTTCTGGCTCCCAAGCCTCCCCTCTGGAGCAAGCAACAAGCTAACCACTGGCTCCCAGAGAGCAGTCCGATTGGGAAGGGCCTGTCCTCTAAGCACATTGACTTTTCATACAGCTTCCTCCCTAGACTCCTCTTAAAAAAAAAATGAAGTCCAGAAACTCCTTGGCCAGAGGATCCCTGCAGAGGAAGCAGGGTGGAACCAGAGCAAAACTGTAGCCCTGGCTCGTGCTGAGCAGACTCCAGCTTGTTCCAATGCTGCCGGCAAGATTTAACCAGCTCTTTAATACTGCAGACCTGATGCAAGTGCCATCAACGCAGGGGGAAGTCGCTGGAGAAAGCGGCGTAGAAAGGGTCCATTCTATTCCGCCGCTAATGCTTCTCTCAGACGGCACTCCCCTCTGCTGATCTCCACACCATCCTGACCCCGTTAGCCTATCATCCCTCGCTCCCCGTCGCCCTCCCTCTCTACCAGATCAGATCCCCACCAGGCTGCTCAGCCGTTCAGAGCAACGCCACAAAAGGATGCGGGTCTAGCCAACTGCTTTGTGGCCTCGCAGGTGTTTGTGTCCACTCATCCAACAAACAGTTCAAGCCCAACTGTTCATCCCCACATCAGTATGGGTATGGAAGAAAAGAATAAACCATGTAATGTTTGTTTACCCTCTTCTGTCATCCACAGAACAAGCAGCAGATTGGATGAAAAAAAAAACCCCTCTAGGCAACAAAACAAGGAACAAAGGAGGTTTGTACAGGGCAGGAGAAAACGCTAGGATTTCCATCAGAAATACACCCTAGAGCCTCAAAGTATCTTTACCTTTTACTCTAATCACCCATCCACAGAGAGACTCATGCACGTCTCTGGACAGAATTGTTATTTACAACTTTGCTGTCTACTCCCTACTTCCAAGCAGCAGTAGCAAGGGGGAATGCAGCCAAAGAGCCTCTATTTCTTTTGTGTTCCCTTCTGATTTGGGCAGGGGCAGAGAAAGGGTTAAACAAAAACACTTGCCATTAGGCATTTTCTGGAGGTCCCTCTCAGGTTTGTTGATGGCTATCGAGAGCAAGAGATGTCTGTCCGTGCACCGGTATATGCGCGTATATCGCTAGCTAGGCATTGGTAATTAAGAAGTCGACCTGCTTCCAAGTTAATGGTTATAAATAATGAACAGCAATTAATAATCATTGTTCTCATCTCCAGCGATGGACTGTTAATCCAGATTATGAAAAAAAATACAGAGCTGCCCAGCAATTGTAAAGGGGGGGAACCTAACCCCAAATCCATTGAATCAGAACCCCCAGCTACAAATAAATTCACTGGGACAAAGGAACGAAATAGAGAAGCGTTTGTATGCCTTACCACGCCACACGACCCTTTCCCCAGAGCTGCCAGGAGAAGAAAAATGAATGAGCTGGAGCGAGTTATGGGAGTGTTGCCGTTGGATTTCCTGCTCGCTTGCTTTTCTTCTGTCTTTTGCGCTCCCTTTTTCGTAGGCTTGGGGGTTTCAGTTCACGGCTCTCGGAGCTCGACCGCTCCTCTGGTCCAGCGGTATCTGAATACAGTGGTGGAGCTGAAAGCATTTAAACCTCTGTTGCTTCAACTGAGGCGACAGGGGGGTATTCTTGTATTTGCTCCAGGGGAGAGAAGACCAGCGAGACAGACAGACAGACAGACAGACAGACAGTCGTATTATTGTAGGGACGGCTGCCTGAGATTCTCCTTTAGCCGTTCTGAGATTGGAGATGAAAAGAAAGTCTCCTCCCCACCTGCCTCATTCCCTCCCCTCCCCAGTCTCTGGAGGAGGGTTTAACAGTCCTGTCCGTGCGGATTCCTTCTTCCCAGAGAGCAATGAAACAGAAAACACACAGCAATGGCACATCGGCTGCACACAGCAAGGAACACAGTGTGAAGAGACACCCCTTCCCCCCTGCTTGGAGACCCGCCAGTGTCACAAGGCATGGCCCACTGCCCTCTAATCACGGAGACCGGCCTAGTCTGCAGGTGGGCAGCACGGCCTGTCCAAGCAGAGTCCTTGTTGGGAGGGGAGGAGAGAGAAGGAGCAAAGGGCGGAGGCCAAGGACTTGGTGCAGGTACTTCATGGTTAACACAGCTACCTGTTGAGCTGAAAAGTCCAAGTGCTATAACCAGCACTGGACAGATGATGCTAAGCCAGGCACCCAGGACAAAGCTCCCCTCCCCGTTCACTGGCCAGGGATGCACTCACTAGGCCTTGGAGTGGGTGTGAAGTGTCTGCCTTGAACTTCAACTCCGCGTGAGTCCCTATTCCTGTCAGAGACTGGGAAGAACAGAGGCCAGGCAGGAACCAAATGCAGAGAGAAAACCAGGGTTAAAAATGGAGCAGAGCGTGGGCAGGGTGAAAACAAATACAGAGACATGCGCAGGGGCAAAGAGACAGTAGATCGACCAAATACAGCCCCGTACTGACTGAACTCTGGGGGATGGTTTGGTCCTTCATTTGTAGCACAAGCTCTTCACTAGCTACAAAGAGGAAGGTCAGTGCATCGCTGGGGTTCTCAGAGTATATTGCCTCTGAAGAGCCCCACTCCACCAGCACCTCAGGGCCTGCTTCCTTACAAGCACAGAGTCTACGCCATCTACACAATCTCTAGGAGGTTGACATTTCACATGAACATCTCCAGAAACACTACCCCCAAAAATCTGGAGGAAGGTTGTGTCCTATCCAAGTAACGGACCCATGCTCTGACACCTGATGGATGTGTTCTGAGCTAGAACACGACTGTTCCTGCCGACAGGTGTTTGTCTAGTCTCCAGTGACAGATTCCACAACCTCGCTAGGCCATGTGTTCCAGTGCTTAACCACCTCGTTTTACCTAATGTCCACACCTAAACGCCCCTAGATGCAATTTAAGTCCATTGTGTCTCATCCTATCTGAGGTTAAGGGGAAAAAATTTTCACCCTCTTCCTTGTAATTTTTATTCACTTGAGAATGGTTATTTCCCCCCTCCATCTTTTCTTCTCCAGGGGGCTTAATCTTTCCTCACAGGTCCTGTTTTCTAAATCTTGAATCATGTTTGTTGCTCTCCAATTTCTCCACCTTTTTCCTGACATGTGGTGCCCAGAGCTGGACAGTACTCCAGTTGAGGCCTTTCCAGCACGGGATGAAGTGGAAGATGGCTTCGCGTGCCTTGACACCATTCCCTGCTGACGCAACCCAGAACAGTATTTTTTGCAACAGTGTCACACTGTTGTCTCAGCTCTGGCTTGTGGGCCTTTACGACCCCCAGCACCTCTTCTGCAGGACCTCTTCCTAGGCGGGTTTCCTCTAAGCTGCTTCACCTGCATTGACCCATGGTCTGGAAGAAAGGCGAGAGGGTTGGGGATTCTTTGAGATTCCTCCAAGGATGACTTCGGGGGAAAATGTAGGGTGAGATTCAGCACCACCGTATCCTTACAAACACTGGGAAAAGGATTGACTTGTATCTCACCCACCTGGGACACAGGGCGCAACACAAGCACTGGCCCATCACCTCCAAGAGACGTTCTTGAATCTTGCCAGGACTGAAGTCAAGCTTCAAGGCGACACAGGACTCCTAGATATGACCCGGGCATCCCATTGGAGGAGAGAGCAAGAGAACAGTGCAGGGGACACATACAGCCACCGTATGCTCACCACTGTAGTTGCTGGGCAAGGGGAACAACCCTCCCACAGTGGAGATCGGGCCCGAGGATCAGCATATTTTATAGACATGCTGGCCCCATCTATGCCCAATCCCTGCCCAGTCTCCCTGCCGTTCCCTCCAGACATGGTTCCTCCATGCATGATGGATTATGGGAGTCCTTGGCAGGGTGGGTACCTCTGGTCCAAAGCAAAGCCAGGTTCCATGTGTTCGGTCTCTAGGCATCCCTCTGTGTCCTGGCTAAATACAAGCTCTCACTCTTAGCTCTCAGAGCTTTGCCGGGAGAAGCTCCAGAGAATGCCTCCACTTAGCTCTACTCCCCCTTTGAGAGCACCGAGGAAAGCACCGTTGTGACACACGCGACAGAGCACCTGGGGCACTCAGAGGTCGTTCTTCATCCAAGCAAGCAGAGAAAACCACCCGAGCGATAAAGGAGCCAACTCCTCTTGACACCTGGGTGTTTTATGGTGACACATTTAATAAAGACACAGGGGTTGCACCGAGGTAGCACTGCCTGGCTTGGAGAGCAATAGGAGCTGGGACGTGACCAAGGAAAGGCTCCACAGGAAGGTTCGGAGGAATGTTATTGAGATCCTGGAGTGAGTTAGATGGCCATGGGCTGAAATGGGCATGCTTTAGAAGGAGGGATACTACTGGTACCTGGCTGGGGAGGTCATGTTCTCAGCCCCCTTGGGAAGAGGCCGTGAGATGTGGCAGAGTTTAGTACAACCCCTGGGGCACCCATCGAGCTAACAGGCAGGAAAGCACCTTGTGAAACATGCAAGCAACTCTCCTTCAATGCCACCATCAAATGGTTTCTTTCCTTTGTGAAAGTAAGTCAGTCTTCCCTTCCCCCTGTGTTCTCCTTGACATCCAAGGCAGCTAAATATCCAACAAACTGAAATCTGGGACAGCGGAAGCTGGGAGAGTGTTTGAGGTGGAAGCTTTTTGTTACGTTTTGGGTTACGCCCTAATAGCAATGACAAGAAAACTACGCGCGGTCCCTCTGACTCTCAACGATCAGCACAGACATACATGACAAACGAATTAGCACAGGCCCCGCTCTCGCAGAGCACTCAGACACACGCCTAAGTGTGAGGGGGTAGGGCCACAGAACGCTACAGGCCTATTCCAAATGGTCAGTGCTTTGCTTAAATCGAGTTTCCGAGCCCCCCTCCGTCTGCACCCTCCGGGGGATGGCGCAGGGTCTATGGTGCTGCAATACAGACATGCCTGTGCTTGCCCTGTTTACCCTGCTAGTGGCGTCAGCGGTGGCGGAGGATCTGACGTTGGCAGGGCACAGGCCTTTGTCTCGCCCAGCTTTGGGGAGACAATTGCAAGACACCCGCTGCCTCGTGTACTTGGACGCTGGGGCAGCTGGACTCTGACAAGCGCCGATCCCTCCTTGTTGCCCAAATACACAGATCCTGGATTTCTCTGGAGCGGTGTCTAAATCAGACTGTGACAGACACAGCCCTGATGCTGGGTACTCAGGGGGCGCAGAGGATGAGTGAGAGTCAATGGATGCAGGTAGAGAGCAGGCCGATGGACTTTCACTGCCTAGGGCGACCCGCCCGGCCAAACCTGGCTCCCCTCACCCTAACTCCAACCCAAGCAGGCAGGAGCACAGGGCAAGGGCTCTCCGAACAGAGGGCTGGACACTGCGGGACAGAGGGTGCACGGGAGAGAGAGCTCCGCGCGAGGTGCGGCTGCCGGTTCCCTCGCCTGCAGCGTTCCCC